AGATATGGCTTTGGCTTTTAACTTTGAAGCTCTCTAATTGAATCTAATCTAATAGCAAATGCATTTCTTCTCAGACTCCTTAAATTTGCAGACAACTAAAGTTGTCTGTGGAGAATCTGGTTGGCATACATTAAAAAAAAGTTACACTATTGTTTCTCAGCATTATTCAGCAGTAAACAGAGAAGGCGGTCTTTTAATTACACTCAGCCAGACTGATAATCTGGAGTTTAAAAGACCCCCTGAGGAGTTCTCACCACTTTCAACCTGAAAGTATAATTAAAAAAATACTTACAAAGATCTCTACTTATACGACAAGAAATGAGTTCGGCAGTTCTGCTCTACTACAGTGATGTTGATCAACATAAGTGTAGAAAGGCAAGCATAGACAAGTATATAGAGTTTTCTTCCCCCACTCCCCCCCTAAGTTTTAATCACTTGCTACACAAGAAATAGACTGCTGTGGATACTCGACATTGTTTTTGCTACTTACTAACCATATTCTTACCCTATTTGTATTTATATCATAAACAAAACCCATTTCAATTACACCACCACCCTTTCTGTCCTCCTTTGCATCAGTACTTGCTACTAGGTATTAGGTGATTCAAAGGGCTGCCCAGAGGTGGCTAGAATGGAAACACTCTTCTGTCTCTGTAATTAAATAAGCTTATCACAGATGGCCATAGAACTACGCTTCCATGGATTCTTTGCTTTCTATGTCTTTCACTTCTACTAATGTTCAAATTTCACCAAAGTTGTCATTGTTTGCATTTCCATTTACTGGTGCATGAGCTGGTATCTACTAAATGTGATGTGTGAGCATAAGCAGAGGCCTGAATCAGGGATCAAAGTGGTCTAGGATGAGGAAGGTCTAAGAAGTCCTGCCATCCCCATTTTGTGTCTAAAGAAACTGTCTCGTGACTGCACTTGTGTCTCTGTATTACTCAATAACGCTTACTCATGGCTCCAATCAAGGAAATCTAAGCCATTCCATTGATATCCCCCTTTTGCTTAAGAGCAAAGCATGTTGACATGGGAAGGAACCTATGGAATGGAGTGAGAACAGGACCAAGCGCTTGTCTCTTGAATGAATCTTGGAATTCATCTTTCTGTTCCTCCTACACTGCCTTGATTTTGTAGGGGGGAGGAGGGGAACTACCTGAGCCCTGGGAGATCAAGTGACTCATGATTATACAATCAGCTACTTAGTGCAGAACTAGGGGAATAACTGAGATCTTGTGATCTCAAGCCTGGACTGTGGCTTTACCTTCCACCATTTCAAGAGTCAGAACCAATGCGGAAGACATCTGAACACAATGAACCTCTGAATGTTCTCCATCTAGCAGGCAGGGAGCAGTCTGCAGAAGGCTAAGTGGGCACCCCCCTTTCTGCCTCTGCTTCAAAGACATCCAAGTTGGTGATTTTTGTTCCTCTGATTGAGCCTGACATCATGGTGAGCGGGCTGGGAAACCTCCTGACAACCAATACTCATTAAGCACACCTACACACATGTGGATTCATGCAGAGCCAGTTCAACAGGCCAGAGTGGCTCATAAACAAATTACAGAATCTCTGGGTTAAATGAGACTTAAAGAGAGTCTAGCCTAACCTCCCATTTGTCTGGTGCTTGGATCTTCCAACATTCTTACAAAATGCTTACTTACTCTCTGCTTGGATACCTCCCAACACGCAGACTCCCAGGACTGCCAATCTTTAGAAAACTCTAGCTATTTAAAAAGTTAAACACAAAAGAAGCGATTAACTAAGCACAAAAACCAGGCCACTAACTTCCCCAAATGTTGGGAATCACATCAAACGAAGATAAGGTATATAGGCTAATGAACAAAAAATCAACTTCAATTATATCGGGCAGGTGAATAGATGAATCAAGAAAATTCTTCTCCAAGATGCTTTACTTATCAACTGATTGGTTGAATTAAAACTACTTTATACTACTACTTTGATAATAAAATCATCATCGCCATCATCACCAACACCATCATCATCAATGCAAAAGAAAAAAGGAAACAAAAAAACTATTGCAGTTGTATCTTTGTTTCATGCATTCTGCCTCTGAGCTGCATGCAACGTTCGGAAGTGTCAACAAATATCACAAGGGATGAAATGGAAATTGGGCCTACCATTGTAAAACCACAGTACACCATGTAACATTGGTTTCTCCAGGAAACTGCTAAGACTGAACTACCTGAAGAGACACTCCCCCCCCCCCCAGCTCTATCTCTTCTATTGTACACAGCATATTCTGCAAACTGTGTAACCACACCAGGTTCCTTTAGATACTTTGTGAAGCTCATGATTTTTTTTCCCATTGATACCAAAGACAGCAGGGAAACAAGAGCTTAATATGTGCCTTCAAAACACAAGGTGAATTCCTGCATCAGGAGCTACAGTGCTAAGTGGACTCTACTGGCAAGAGACAGCAAGCTATAATTTGAGGAAATGTGTAGCCAAGCTTTGCATCTAAAAGCATTCTGTGAAATGTAACCTTTTATGAGGCACACTATTTATGTACACACCACACAGTTAATCCTTTTCATCTCTAGGTGTCATAGAACTACACCAAAACCAGCCAATGAATCACCACCCCAGATCTCTTCATCAGGTGGGCGTGAGTGCCACTGCTCAGGTGGAGAAACAGAGACAGGTTTCCTGGGATCCATCCAAAGGCATCCAGTGAATCATTGCCCAGCTGAGAGAGAGAGCCTGTGAGTCAAGGCTCTATGTTCTGGGAATTGGTTTGGGGATAGAGGCCTCAACTCTATCTTGGATAAACTATGGTTTTAACCAAAACAGAAAGCAGAATCTACTCATAGTTAAAGCAAGCAAGAAAACAAACAAGAAATCTCCAAAATGTGTGTGTGTCTGTGTGTGTGTTTACTGCTCCCACCATAGTTTAAAAAGCTATAAGCACGACATTTAAGAAAGAATAAATTAAATTGTTTTAACCCAGTATCACGTGCCAGAATAATTTGATTGATCATTTCCAGGATGAATCCGTCTTCTAGTTGGTCACTTAAGGAAGTGAAATATATTAAGGTGAACAATTTTGCTTAGAAGAATAAAACTGATCATTAAGGACTTCTCTGGAATTCCCCTGAGCTACTTCTCCACCTGCCAGTTGTACAAGGAGGTACTGAAAGAATTTTGTACCGTTTTCTTAAAAGTATTTCTCCTTCCATGAGGAGATTCGACCATCACTTCCTGTTTGTTCACTTTCGTAGGGCAAGTCTATCCTAGGAGGATAATAATCAACAGAGAGTTACTAGACCTATAGTAATTTTGATATAAAGGAGTCCTGATGTGGGAGCCTGAAAAAAAGCTGCAATAACTCCTTACAAAACCATCTTGCACAATCATTAAATTCTCTAGGTATTGGAATTGATTAGGGAAAGGTTGACTCTACCTGCACTGTAAGTTTCTTGCTAGGAGGAGTCAAGGGAAATAAGATGAAAGGGAGCAATGGCATTGGAAGTCTTTCACACCAGAATTCTGGAAACAAACTTTGCCAAAGCAAAGGCCCAGGTGCCTTTATTTCATGGCAATTAAGACAGAACAGACACAAAGTACAGCACAACTAGTATGATTTCTGCACGAAGATAATCTAGTCACAAACCTGTTTACCTTGATGAAAATTTCAGTGGTTTTTCTAACAAGGCACCTAAAATGATTTATTTAAAATAAGGGGAAGTTGTTGGGTGCTGGGGGGCTCTTGCCCTTAATCCTAGCTATTCATGAGACTGAGTATGTGGATCATAGTTCAAAGCCATGGTAGATAAATTCTAGATACCTCTTTTCTCCAATTAACCAGCCAAAAACTAGAAATCGAGCTGTGACTCAAGTGGTAGAGCACCAGCCTTGAGCAAAAGAAAAAAAAATCCAAGCAGAAACTGAAGCCCTGAATACTGGCACACAATAAAATAAAATACAGTTTTTAAAAAAAGATAAGGGGAAGGGAAAAGCCTTCCTATCACCCTTCTCTGTAACATCCAGAGAACTATTTCTTTCTGTGTAATCCTTTCCAACCTGACAATTGAGAGGCAACCATCCGTGAGACAGCAATTCCTTTGTCACAGTGGAGACCTGGAGAAGGCCCCTGTGTTCGCCCAGTGGTCAGGCCTTCCCCAGGTGACCTCGGCTGTCTCGGTAGACCCCCTTGCTTCAATTTCCTTCGGTACCTCTCCGTCCTTCCCTGCATGTTACATTACTCAGAACATTTCTACTTATCCTGCTTTCCACTGGCCACCAATCTGCTCTTTCTGAAAGTCTATTATACAGGTGACCCTTGCTGAAGACCTTAAGTTCTAAAGCTGAACTTGTGGGAGGATCTTATCTTCTTCAACAAGAAAAAAAAAAATCAAAAGAATCAATCACACAAGTCAACTTCAGATGTGAGTAGAAAATACTTCGATGGGACAGAACCCATGGGTTTTTATTATTAAAAACCATGGTAAAGTTTTATTTTTAAATCCTTGATAGTTGGGGATGAACCACTTCGTTTTGCACACTTGAAAAACTACCCAGACATATTACTACTACTTTTTTTTTTTTTTTGCCAGCATTCTACCAATCCTGAAGTTATATACAGTCTTAGCATAACCAGAAGAGGCCCAAGAGGTTAAAATTTCAATTTGATTTTTACCTTTCCCATTTCCAGCCACCTTCATAGGAACCGAAGGTGAATGGGTCTTTAGCGGGGCACCCTAAAAATGTGTCACTCAGGAAGTCAGAAGCCAGACAGAGTTTAGTGCTGGGCCTCAGGGCCTGTTCCTCTTCTAAATGGAGCACCTGAAATCGGATCCCCTTTTAAGACTTGCTAACCATGTAATCACAGCTCAGGGCTTACAGGCGCGACTCCACAGTCCCAAAACCAAGCAGAGGGATTCAGGGTCTCTAGGAGGTGGCTGTGGGATGGGGCTGGAGGGTCAGGGCAGGGAAAGGGGCCGGGGGGGGGGGGGGGGGGGGGGGAGAAATGCACTCACTATTCAGATTCAGCAAGGAGTCGAAGACTTTGCACTGGATCTGCCCGGTACTCTGCGACACGCAGGCCATCCACAGCCCCTCGTACATGGCCTGGGCGGTCACGATGTTGTCGCCCGCATAGGAGTAAATCTTCCACTGAGGCAGGGCCGTGCTGACGATGGCTCCAATCCAGCCCAAGAAGGCTAGGATGAAACCCAAGAGCTGCAGCCCCGCGTTGGCCATGGCTCGCTCCGGGGGCTCGTTGGCGCGTGCGCGCGCGCGCGGCGGGGCTGGCAGGTGCAGAAGGTGGAGAGTTGGCAGGTGCACGCCTGGAGCTCTCCGCAGCTCCGCGGGGCACGCGGCCACGTCCAGGAAGAGACGGCGTGCCGCCCCGCCGGAGAGGTTCCCCCGGGTCCGGCTCGGAGTTTGTGTAGCGCCGGAGTCGGGATGCCCGAGAAGATGCCGCGGCGCCCAGGCTCAGAGACTGAGACGCTGGGGCGCTGGGGGCCCGGGATTTAAAGCAGCCCCGCCTCCCGCCCCGGCCGCGCGGCGCCCCCTGGTGGTTTCAGGCCGGCTGGACTTGCGCGCCCCGGGTAGCTGGACCTGGTTCAGCTTGCTCCGGTGTCCTCTCCTCTCCCATACATATTTCCTGCCTTAGTGCGCCTTCCCCCACCCTCCAACCCCCCCCCCCCCGCCATTCGCTTCTCTGGGCTCTGTCCTCTTCTTCCCTTCAAGGTCATTCCAAGTCTCTCTGCAAGAGATCTCGGAGATTAGAGAACCTGTTTTGTACAAACTCATCCAGCATTTCAGTAGCACAGCCATACTCAATTCCCAGCCCTTGGTCCCGAGATGCCTCTCCCTCCATCTTCAGTTGACTGAAATGCATGATCTTTTGATTGATTATCACCCTTTAACCTATCACCCTTTGCTTGGAGCACACAGAGGGACAGACAGACAGACACCTACACACACACAGGCCTCCTAAGGCAAATACTTTGTCTTAGATAAGCCCTGGTTATCCGAGGTCTGTGGCCCCTCTCCCTCCAGGGTATTTTTCCTTGATCCATGATCAATTTTGGTTCATCATATATCAGTCAGTACCCGGGCTTGCTTTAGTGGAGAGAGGACTAGGTTTTAGGAACTCCAGGTTCTGGCTGTGGATTTTTCAGTAACTAGCCGTGCCTTTCCCTCCGGTTCTAGTTGGGCCTTTAGTGTCCCTCCCTGGGTCTCCAAAGCTTTCTTCTTTGGTACTCAGAAGCTGTGCTGTGGTTGGGAATAATTAAGATGTTTTCCCCACTGCTTTTTTATGTGTGGTTCCATGTGGTGGGAGGAGAAACATGGGTGGTTTTAGTAAAGACAGAAGAAACCTGGAGGCAGAAGTAAACATGCAGAGAAAACAAGAGACCTCCATAAATGTACTAAAGGAGCTGCCAGGTTATATAAAGAACAGTATAACATATCCAAGGAAGAACAAAGTGAATGACTTAAGTCCACCCTCGCCCATACCCCTACCACAACATGGCTATTTCCAGATTTCTTTGCCATATTTAAGGCTATCAATCTGGCCTGTACAAGGTTTGGGAAGGAGTAATGAAGAGGATAACATAGAATCTGGATGAAGAACTTTAATTCAGAACAAGATTAAAACAAGTGAGGACTGTCTTTCTATGCCTCTCCTAGGCTCTAGAACATCTTCAAGGAAAATCTATGGGACGAGATTGGATTAGTGCATGGTGCTGGTGGCTCAGGCCTATAATCCTAGCTACTCAGAAGGCTAAGATCTGAGGGCTATAGACTCAGATCTCCAAATATCTACCAACAAGCTAGAAGAAGAAATGGGACTCTAGTGGGACAGCATAAGTCTTGAGTGGAAAAGCTAAGGGACAGCAAGTACCTGGTTCCTGAGTTCAAATTCCAGTACTGGGGAAACAAGCAAACAAACAGAAAGTTTGGTTTGGAGCTTCTGAATCCCCCAGCAGATTTTCTCTCTAGATTCAGAGAATCATACACCAAGTACCTACCCATCGATGTGGAGGGAGAAGCATCAGTCATGTTTGTTTGTTTTTTTGTTTATTCCGTCATCAGAGACATGCACTCAGAATTCACTGTAGGACTATAACTGTGTGAGTCATATGAACTCTTACTTTGATCCTAATCTTTACAGAATTAATTTGAAAAGAGTGGATTTAAATTCAGTGGATATACTGTGTACTAGCTCTTTTTATCTGTGCCAGGACCTATTTCTACCAGCTTACCGTTGGTTGGGAATTGGAAGAGTGAAGTCTGTGGTCAGGAGGCCCCTGGGTTTTGTGTTTTAGGCTGTCTGAGGCTGATGACTTCACTGCCCACAGTCGTGTTTGTGAAGTTGGGGTGACTGCTGTTTGTGCCACTGGGCTCCCTCCCCATCCTTGACATCCTAATCATATCTAGTTTTCTGTCTGCATTTCCCAGAAACAACAGGTGGGATAATCACTCAGCATTAACCCCCAAACAACCTACCCACCTATACTAAACTTTCATATACAAAAGAATTACAATCTGTGACCCAGAAGATTCTAGAAAAGCTGGTAATAGGCAAATGTCCTGAGATATTAGATTTTAAAAATCGGATTATCTGCCTTCAGATAAATTACTTCTTTTCTCTTCCTCAGTTTCCCTATTAAGAAACATTAGGGGTGGACTTCTAAAATGTGGTGGTTACACTGATTAGTGACTTCATCTCACCATGGATGGGGCTCAGAGTTTTATATAAGACAAGCATTAAAGAAGTGAATTCATGGATCCAGGTTTATATATAATAAAAGGCAGTGCTGGCATTCCAGACTACTTGGTTTAAGTCAGGAGCTGAGGTAGGGAACTCCCATCCTACAGTAGTTCTCTGTGTGATCTAAACCAAAGAAGCATCTGTATTAGGACCAATTGGCTTTTTGCATGGACTTAGCTATGTTTATTATGTGTTTCTAGCTCCAGGCAAGGGTAAAGGGTTCACCCTTATGACCCTTGATCATTTCTGTGTTAGCCCGCAGAGATTCTATACTTTGAGGAACCCGAATCATGTGGTAAAGTGTGGACATATCAAGACAGGTATGACTGCAAACAAGAAAGAGCTCACTGATGTCCTCCGTGTGTGTGTGTGTGTGTGTGTGTGTGTGTGTGTGTGAGACAGAGAGAGAGAGAGAGAGAGAGAGAGAGAGAGAGCATAGCCCCGGGTCCACAATCAGCGATAAGTAGAAGAGATATATAAAGAAGTGGTAGTGAAAGGTAATAACAGGGTGGGAGAAGAGAGCAGACAAAGTAGATCTGTCCTTTGTCTAAGAAGGGACAGGGAGAGAGATACTCAAAAATGGCCTGAGATGGCAGGCAAAAGGCTTTGGAGAGGCAAAACCTTCCCATAGTGATGACGCATATTTGTGGTAAAGTTTCAGAATCTCTCCGATGGTAAAGGTCAAGTGGGAAGACACATGGCTAAGTGAGCATCCGGCTGTGTGATTGTTTGGTGCTTACACAAACAATCATAGCTCACATGTGAAGCTTTTGTAAGAATTTCAGCATTAGAATATGCAGGTAACTAATACTAAAAATATTACTGGTTTTGTGTGTAGTCACTTCTAAATCAGACTCTTGAAACTTCTTGGAGCTTTGGGGAGGGTAGTAAGGGGTAATAGTGAAAAACATCAACTTTTGGAATTCTAGTGACAAAATAGTGGAGAAAGTTGAAAAAAATAAAAATAATTGTATTGTTATTATTAAGGTACAGAGGGAAATGAAAAATTTTATAAAACATTCTGTGTTGTCTTTTGAATGAATCAAATGTCAAGGCTGTTGTGAACATTCAATAAGACTAATATAGTTGAATTGGCGAGAATGGTAGTGAGTGTATAGCAAGCACACATAAAACTGTAGTTATTATTATGTTTGAAGTCGTCAAGTTCAGCAAATCTGATGGCCTTACTGTTACAAAGGATTCTCCTGCTGATTCAGAAAGACACTTTATTGCTTCAATGGTAGGAGAGTCTTATTCAATGTCATGATGAAATCATGGTGACCAGATACAAAGTTTTCGAACAGGAAAATCTGTGTCGCATCTGCAAACAGAAAAGGCTGCATGAGAGGCAAATGCCTTTATATGGAAACAAAACAAAACAAAACAACAAACCTGCCCCAGGTCCTGCACAGGTTTCCCCTCTGAGTACCACAAACTTTCCATGGCTAGCACCCATGCTTGAGAAGAGACCAGAACCAAATGAACATGTGGTTCCAAGTATCTCTCTTCTACAGATCAGGAAAGATTTTCAGGGGCCCAGGAGACAAAAAAAAAATGCCTTAGTTATAAACATTTATAATCAAACTGCCATATATGGACATAAAACATCCCCTTAGTTTCTCTTTTCTATGTCTGGTGTGGCAGAGCTATCTCTTCAGAAAAACATAATGGAAAGATGACATTTCAGCTAAAATCTATTAAGTCAATCATGGATATCTCCTTTGAAGAAAATTGGTGAGGAACTGTGCTCTATATCATTTTGCTTGTGTGGTTGAGGAAAGTTTCCCTTTAATCATTAGAGATGTTAGAAACCTTTAACTAATCTGATCAGAAAGTCAAGGCCTAATTGGTCAGGATACTTTATATACCTTAATACAATGCCATGTGCACTAGAGTTAGAGTACATCTGAGAAACAGAACAGGTGGGAGGAGTCATCATGGGAGAGAGAGAGGAGAAGATGTATGAGAGAGAACTTAATGTATTGCTTCATTCAGTTATGGGAACTGTCAAGCTTAGAGTTGGTAGCCCATCCCTGTAGAATCAGAGTTGATGAGGCAAACATTCACCTATAGAGGAACATTTCAATTTCTTTGTGCACTGTAGGCATCTGGTGCCAAGCTAGCTATAGGCAATATCCAACAGAGGATGGGATTTTATCACATATTAGATAATACATAGAAGTGACCACAGAATTTCAAAGAGGATCTTGAACAAATTTCCTTTTAGAAAGTCTTGTTTAGTTAGCAAGGGGCAGAGAGAGAAGTTAGTTTACTGAGGAGCCTGTTGGAGCGGCATAGAAAGGGGTGGTGAAGGAGGTTGAATAATGTCAATGGCAGGGCATTGGACACAGAGAGAAAAATGTGCCAGGCAGAGATGGGCAAAGATGAGTGAGGTTGGTGTTAAGCACCTGAGAAAAGAGTGATAATTTCACAAAATACTGAATGAGATGATTGCTCATCCATGGGGACATTATGTGTTTCCCTAAAGGACAGCCATGGAGATAGAGGGTAAGTTGGAGCTTTGGGGCTTGTTCAGCATGCCAGTCTATACTGGGGAGCCTTCCTAAGGGACTATGAAAGGGAATTGTGATTTATTTTAACTAGTCAGAATCAACTCTCCCACATTGTATTAGCAAGAGGAGTAATATAGTTAGATGAGGGATTCGTGAGGAAGAATGGGTTATAGAAATCTAAGTA